CCAGGAGAGGCATTGCTGGGCCACGTGGCAATGCTCAGTTGGACGCAGCTCTGTTTCTGAAAGCCAGGGAGCACGCTGTGTGCCAGCACCATCCCTGTCGACCTGACGGGGCTCGGACCCCTGGCTGCACTCCTGCCAGGACACACTGGCCTGCCTCGGAGTGCCCCTGCTGGGGCCCTGCCTGGGAAGCCATCCTACGTGCTGCGCTGTGTGATCCCTCAACATGGTTTCCTCCTCCCTTGACTCTCTGCTCAGGGCGGGGTAGGTCTCTACGCAAGAGTGGCCCCCAGCTATGAGAAAGTGCTCCCTGTGAGCCCCCAGATACAAGGCCGTCTTCTGTGAACACTGTCCACACCATCAGCTTCTTAACAGCTTTATTGGGGTAGAATCAACACCCGACTAAGTGTATACAGTGAAAAGGGACAGTTTGATCAGTTTCGACATAGGGGCGCATCCACGAAACCATCATTGCAAGTGAAACACCCAGCATAGCCACCAGTCCCAGAATATGCCTCAGCTGCCTTTGCAATCCCTCCCTCCCGCCCCTCCCTGCAGCCAGTAGTCTGCTTTCTGTCATGAGATATTACTTTGCATTTGTTCTAGTTTTACAGAAATGCAAATGCTCTGAATCTTAAGCAGCGTGATGGTTGTGACGGTGGATGCCTTTTGAGGACCCATCAGGCACTATACTTGAGATGGGTACATTTTATTGTACATGGGGGATCCCTCAAGAGCGTTCCCTTTGGGGAAGGAAGGCGGAGGAATGAATCCCTCCTCGCAGGGAAGGGAGAATGGCGCAAGCCCAGCTGCAGCAGGTGCAGTGTTCAACAGCAAAGGCAAAAGTGTGAGCCGGAGGCCTCTGTCCAGGCGGCTGGGCACTGACTTCCAGGAGCCACGCTGCACTGGGGCTGGGCGCACCCTCAGGTAAATGTCTGACCTGGGGCCTGTGCCTTTGCAACACCATGGAGTGTCCTTTTTTGCTTCTCTTCTTCTAGAGAACAGCCTCTCAGTCGGTGATTTGGCTGTGGCCTGCATTCCTGTTCCCAGACACAGGAAATACCTGCAATTAAAAAGGACCAAGGTGACATCGGCAAAGAACTTGCTTACTTACCTTTAACTTAAAATGTTGTCTGTATTTCATATTTTAAAAACAGGTCATAGAAAAGCCTGTTCTCTTGTATCCCAAATAAAATAAAATCAATCAATTATGTGCCCAAAGAGCCACCACTTCTGGCCCGGGAAAGAAGTCAGAGCTTTCAGAGTCTTGCTCACAATGTGGTCAAGAATGTGCTGCAGGGCGGTCACTGAGCTTTTCAGAAACTGCCCCCCCCCCGACCTCCAGACTCCGAAGCTGGATTTATCTAGATGCTGGGAGGGGTTGTGTGGCCTTATTGCTGCCCTTTTTCTGGACAGCGCCTTTGACCGCTAGCAAGGCTAACACGCCTCTGAGAAAGGCGGGAAGCCGTTTGGGCAGCAGGTGGGTAAGCGTGGCCTACAATCAGGAGCCCAGCGGAAAGTGGATTGATCTGCTTGTGTCTGGCTCTGTGGGGAGCCCTGATAGTAGTCATGTCCTTGGTACATGCAGGGAGCGGCCATATTCTTGGCTGTTCCCCAACCCCCAGGACACCCGACCAATAAGAAGTAAATGGGAAAGATGCACCTGGTGGCGGGAGGCACCCAGGCCTGTGCTTTGCACACGGCCCTGCGTGGAGCATTTGAAATTTGAAAAAGAGAAGGGTGGTGAGTGGCTGTTGCACCACAGCTCGCGTCCAATGGGGCAGAGACACGCATGACAGGCGCCGCAAGGGCTGCTGGGCCTGGGGGCAGAGGGCGGGCTGGCGGGAAAAATTGTGGCTTATCGGTGTGGGGGATCCTGGGGGAGAGGGGCGGGGAGCACCCAGTGCGCAGCCGCAGCGGCATCTTTATTTACCCGCCCCAAGCCCGCGCCCCAGCAGACGTGTGGTGGCTGTTCCCCGGGGTGGTCGTGCGCTAGGTGGTCTGCTTTGGAGGCTTCTCCGCGGGTAAGGCGCCACGTGGCCCAGCTGCCCAGGGCATAATTTGGGAATCAGAGCCCCCATTCAACCGCAGCGGCTGCCTGTGGCCCCTTCACACCGTGGGCTCTATGTACTTTGGGGGTGTCCGGGTGCGCTGGGGGGGGACTTGTTCTGCACCCCCGTTTGCTGAGAGGAGGTAGGGCTCTGAGCCTTCCACTCGGGGCCACGGCCCACTTCCACCCATGGAGTGTGCCGCTACTCTGGGACTGGGGGCAGTGGCGTGGGGGCATGGGCTAGGGATTGGGGATTGAGGGATGTGGGGAGAGGGGCGATGAGGATGGGGGTGAGAAAGTGGGAGGCTGGGGAATAGGGTGGGGGAAGGTTGTGAGAAGGTTGAGGGTGTGGATGTGGGGGCAACCCCCACAGGAGGTGGGGTGCGTGTATGAGGGAAATTTGGGGGGCAGGTGTGAGGAGGTTGGGGGCGTGGGGGAGAGGGGTGAGGGTGTGGGGCTCCAGGTTGGGTGCAAGGGGAAGATAAAAGGAAGCGGCAGAAAGTGGGACCAAGAGAGGTGGAGTCACAGAGTGGGGAATGGGGTATGAGGGGGGTTGGGCTACCAACTCACCCTAGGAACCCCTCTGCCCCAGTAACAGCCCCCAGTTGAGCAGTTTCTTTATTTTAAAACTCAGGGCACTTAGGGACACATGCAACGAGAACCAAGCCAGTGGCCATGGAGTCAAGTTCGACTCCTGGCGCCCCTACATGCATCAGAGCAGAACTGCACCCTGTAAGGTTTTCAGTGGCTCATTTTCTGGAATCAATATTCTTCTGAGGCACCTCTGGACAGATTTGAACGTCCAACCTTTTGGTTAACAGACAAATATCTTAACCACGTGCACCTCACAAGGAGTGTGAATTTGCATGGCTTGAGCAGGTGCTCAAGGTGGGGTTGCAGAACTGTTGCACACCATCTCTCTTGCCTCAGATGGATGCACTGCAGGAGGACCCACACCCCTGGGCCAGGAACTGCCTGATTGGGACCAAATGTGGTGTGGCAGCACCCACTTGGTGTCTTCCCCAACTCAGAGGCAGG